GTGTGTGGGCTTCTAGTTGAGGCGGCTTCTCTTGCAGAACACAGGCTCGAGGCACTTGGGCTTCAGCAGTTGCAGCGTGTGGACTCCGTGGTTGTGGCTCGCGGGCTCTAGAGCACTGGCTCAGCAGTTGTGGTGCACGGGCTTACTTGTTCCCTGGCATGTGGTATCTTCCCAAACCAGGGATCAAGCTGGTGTCCCTTGCATTGCAAGGCAGATTCTTAACCACTGGACCACCAGGGAAGCCAGCATGGGTTTTCTTTAGAGTCCCAGATTTACTCTTATGTTTCACAAAATAAAGAGTTTGATGCAGACCAGAAAAAAGAGATGACTTACTAGGATCTGGGGAAGTAACTTCTAAGGAGAGCTGGCTGAATTCAGTTCATTCCATGAGCCATTAAGGATTATAATAAGTTCCTAGACTCTGCCTAGACTCATTCAGTTTTCATGGACCTAGAGTCACATGATAATTACTCTGGTCACTTTCCTTTACAACCTAAATAAATTTCAGAGGATTCATACTTCTAAAGTGAAGTGAAAGTGAAAGTTGCTCAATTGTGTCTGATTCTGCAACCCCATGGGCTATAGGGTTCATGGAATTCTCCAGGCCAGAATACTGGAGTGGGTAGCCTTTCCTTTCTCCAGGGGATCTTCCCAACCCAGGGATCGAACCCAGGTCTCCTGCATTGCAGGCGGATTCTTTACCAGCTGAGTCACAAAGGAAGTCATACTTCTAAGTAATACACAAACCTATGTCTATATGCATTTTTCTAAGAAGAGTTGTCATAGTTTGGATTTCCCCCCAGTAGACGCTGAAACAGAAATTTGGATTCAAGTATTAAGTTTGGGAGATGATCCAAGAATCTAAGCAGTGTAAGGGAGTGAGAAGAAGGCCAATAAATATCTTTTGGGCAAATGGGGCTGATTCTTACTGGCAACTCTCAGAAAAAACGTTAAAGTGTGGTCCATGGACTGGCAGTATCATTTTCTCCTAGAAGTTTGATTAAAATCACAAATTCAAGGTAATTCCCTGGCTGTCTAGAGGTTAAGATTTGATGCTCTCACTGCCAGGGACCTGGGTTCGAACCCTGGTCGGGTAACTAAGATCCTGCAAACTCTGGCCAAAAAAATATGGAAATTCAAGAATTTATGTCTTATTAATCTCTCCGGGTGATTTTTATGTGTTAGTAAATTTTGAGAAACTCTATCATAAAACATACTTTAGAATTGCCTCACTGAGGAGGGGTAGAAATTGGAATATTTAGCTATCAAATCCCATCTCTCATTGGTTATAGATTGCTATGGGGAATATTAACTGCTGACATTTCCAGGCAAGGAGAATACTCAGGTATTTAAAGTAGAAAGCTCTGGGCCTGTATAGGATTTGTCTGTCAAAGCTTTAGTGAACTCCAGGATAGGCTGAGGGAATATGGGCAGGGCACAGACAGGACCTGAATAAAGGTTCATAACTTTTATCAGATTCTCATGTTTAAAAGTCTGTAAAGGACTTTCCTGGTGGTCCAGTGCTTAAAATACTCTGCACTTCCAATGCAGGGGGCCCAGGTTCAATCCCTGGTCAGGGAACTAGACCCCACATACCACAACTAAGACCTGGCACAGCCAATAAATAAATTTAAAAATAAAATTTTTAAAGAAGTTTGTGAGCCCTCCCTAAAAGTTAAGGACTATATTCCTTCAGCAGATGTTTCTTGAATGCCTACTATATACCAGGTACTATTATCAGGCATCAGAGATACAAAAGCAAATAGGAAAAAAAAAAAAGGAAAAAAAAAAAAAAGCAAATAGGAACTTTCAGGTGACAAAGAGATTTCCCTGTCAACTATAAAATAATTATTAAATGCCTACCCTTAAAATTGAGGTAAAAAAAATGCCCAGGCCTAATAGTCCACAGCTCTAAAAACCTAGAAATTTAATTTTTCCAATCTCAGAATATTTGAAATATTGATGTAAACCTATTAATTTACAGGGAGCCCAGGTTGGTTCAGACATTATCTTAGTTCAGTTCAGGTGAGTTGCTCAGTTGTGTCCAACTCTTTGCAACCCCATGGACCACAGCACACCAGACCTCCCTGTCCATCACCAAGTCCTGGAGTTTACTCAAACTCATCTCCACTGTGTCGGTGATGCCACCCAACCATCTCATCTTCTGTCGTCCCCTTCTCCTCCTGCCTTCATCTTTCTCAGCATCAGGATCTTTTCAAATGAATCAGCTCTTTGCATCAGGTGGCCAAAGTACTAGAGTTTCAGCTTCAACATCAGTCCTTCCAATGAACACCCAGGACTGACCTCCTTTAGGATGGACTGGTTGACTCTCCTTGCAGTCCAAGGGGCTCTCAAGAGTCTTCTCCAATACCACATAGTTCAAAAGTATCAATTCTTCGGCACTCAGCTTGCTTTATAGTCCAACTCTCACATCCATATGACTACTGGAAAAACCATAGCCTTGCCTAGATGGACCTTTATTGGCAAAGTAATGTGTCTGCTTTTGTGTGTGTGTGTGTGTGTGTCTGCTTTTTAATATGCTGTCTAGGTTGGTCATAACTTTCCTTCCAAAGAGTAAGTGTCTTTTAATTTCATGGCTTCAGTTACCATCTGCAGTGATTTTGGAGCTCAAAAAAATAAAGTCTGTCACTGTTTCCCCATCTATTTGCCATCTTCTTAGTAGAAAAGTCTATATAGAAATCAAATTATTATTAGAAGTTGCAGTGGTGGTTTAATGTATTAGAGTGCACACTTGTATAGGATCTAGCCAGAAACCTAGTCAAATCCTCAATTTTGGTTTCGCTATCTCTTTGCTTGGACATCAATGTGTTAAAACATCTTTTCTTCAAAAATGTTTCATTCATATGAATGCCACAGTTCACAGAGGCCACATTCTAGTAGAAGATCTAGCTGTCCATATTGCTTATAGACATGTTCTGCTTGCCATCATTGTGTTTTAAAATTCAGGAGAGATTTGAACTCCTTTATTTTTATTAAAATTTTTTTTCCTTATGATCAGAACTCATAGGATTTGTTTTCTTTTTCTTTTCTTTTAGGATGTTTTCTTAACCACTTCCATATATAACATACATCAATGTTAATAATTTATCAGGTTGCACATATTCCTCTTACAACTGGGAGTCTAAACCTTTTGATTACCTTCATCCAATTCCCCACTCCTGTCAACTCCCCACCTCTGGTAACTACAAATCTGATCTCTTTTTCTATGAGTTTATCTTTGAAGTATAATTAACCCGCAACACTATTAGTTCCTGTTACACAACATAGTGATTTGATATTTCTATACATTTCAAAATTATCACTACAATAAGTCGTTACAATGTCACCATAAAAAGATATTACACAATTATTGACTATATTCCATATGTTGTACATTTCATACCAGTGACATTTATTTTGCAACTGGAAGTTTGTATCTCTTAGTTTCCCTCACCTGTGTCTTTCTTCTCCCCACCACCCTTCTGTCAGGCAACCACTTGTTTTTTTCTCTGTACCTGTAATTGTTTCTAGTTTATGTTTGCTCATTTGTTGTTTTTTAGACTTCACACGTAAGTGAAATCATACAGTATTTGTCTTTCTGTCTGACTTATTTCACTTAGTGTAATGCCTTCTGTGTCTATCCAAGTTGTTACAAATTACAAGATCCCATTCTTTTTTATGTCTGAGTAATATTCCATTATATATACATTATATATATAATATTTATGTATCACATTCTTTATCCATTCATCTATTGATGGGAACTTTGGTTGCTTTAAATTTTAACTACTGTAATAATGCTGTCAAGAACATAGGGGTGCATATATCTTTTCTAGTTAGCATTTTCATTTTCTTCAGATAAATTCCCAGGAGTGGAATTGTTGGATCATATAGTAGCTCTATTTTTAATTTTTTGAGGAATTTCCATGCTGTTTTCCATATGGCTTCAGGAAACCTCGCTTTCAAATAGAAGCTTGTACTCTTTAGTGGGCTCTAAGTCTCCACTACCATCTATTGTTTTACACAAGGTCATCTTTTATTGTCACCTAGGCTCTGTAGTCTTTTGAATTAGCAACTTCAAGGGTTCTTTTACATAACCCACATGCCCATAATACTGTGCTCCTAAAGTCACTCAGATAATGCTTTATCTAGTACAGGGTTTAGAGCTTTCCAATAGAAACTTCTTCCACTGCAGGGGACTCCAGTTGGATCCCTAGTTGGGGAACTAAGATCCCACATGCTGCAGGACTACTGAGCCCACTTGATCTGGAGCTGGTGGGCCACAACTAGAGACAATCCCTCATGCAGAAACTACTAAGCTTGTCCACAGGCAACTACTAAGCCTGTGTGCTCCTGTACCTGGGCAGCATCACAACTAGAGAGAAGCCCAGGAGCTGAGACAAAGAATCTGCACATCACAACAAAAAATCCTGCATGCTGCAAGGAAGATCCTGTGTGCTGCAACTAAGAACCAATGCAGCCAAAAATAAAGATATTTTTAGAAATTTCATAATATTGATTACATGTAGAAATATTTTGAATATGTTGGATTATGTGGATTACTAAATTTCATTTTTCTTACTTTTAAAAACATGTGGCTACTACAAATTTTAAATTGCATGTTATGGCTCACAGTATGTTTCTACTGCACAGCACTGGTCTAGACTACGAGAGCTATTCAGGGGCTTGGAGAGAAGAAAATGAATTCTCCATTTATTACTTTTATTCTTTTTATTCCTTTTATTCTCAATGAACAACGTTCTTTATATATCCATCTTCTGTTCCAGATCCTACTCAGTCTGCATTTACAGCTTTCTGAGAGTAGAGAAAGGACAGGAAAGAAGTCGCTCAGTCCAGTCCGACTCTTTGCGACCCCATGGACTGTAGCATTTCAGGCTCCTCCATCCATGCTATTTTCCAGGCAAGGGTACTGGCGTGGGTTGCCATTTTCTTCTCCAGAGGATCTTCCTGACCCAGAGATCGAACCCGGATCTCCCATATTGCAGGCAGACGCTTTATCGTCTGAGCCGCCAGGAGAGAAAGCCCTTAAAACTGTGTTGAGAGGCATCAACTAAGGATGTGCCCACAGGGTGGCAAGCAATAACTGCAAAGTTCAGATCACACACCAACGCGGCCCCCTTTCGCATCCAAACACCTGTGCTTATGCTCGATTAAAAACAATAACAACAAACTTTTATTTCCTATTTTGGTAGGGAGAGTTGATCGGGGCGGGACACCAGTATATAAACATAAACATTTCTGTTAAGTCAAATGTCCTTCACAAACCAGCGTAGGGGAAGAACGGATGAATTTCCTGAAGAAAGGTTAACGAAGATATGGAAAGGTCAATTTCTGGCTTGCTCGCTCCATCTCTACTGGGCACGCAAAAAGAAAATACCAGGAAGACGGAACTTCAGCTAAAGGCGACACTGTTCCAAGTCTGAGGCACTGGGAAATGACGGCCACATACCTAAAGTTATTCCAGTGTAAGGTTCGCCATACTAACTTCCCTCAGATGGGACCGTTCCTGCGTGCTGCCTACAACAGTTTTCCGACTCTCCCGCCAGTTCAAGATCCTTCCCCGCCCTTGCCCACCTCCAAACCTTTCCGGGCCACCCCTGTAGCGCCTTACAGCCGCCATTTTAAACAACACTATCGCGAGATATACTTAGCCGTCTCGAGCCTGACTCATTTACTTTCTTGCGAGAGGCTCTTCCCGGCTGTTCTCGCCGTAGCTGTGGAAACTGTCGCGAGAGCTGGTTGCCTTGGCTCCCTGTAGCTATAGCAGCCGCGGCGGTTAAGGATGCGGCGGCAGAAGCGGTGAGTGCGACACCCTCAGGGGGGCGGGGCCGGAGGTAACAGGGTGCTGGGGCGTAGCGCCTAGGGAGGGGGTGGGGAAGGTCGGGTCGCGGGAGAAATGGGCCCTCGTGTGACGTGTTGGGTGGGACTCAGGTCCAGTGGTTATAAGGACAGGGCGCCGGTCTGCACCAGGGCACGCGGGAAGGGCTGGAGCTGCCGCGAGGTCCAAGGGGGAGGGACCCGGGTGTAGAAGGGTTCAAGGGGCAGGGGCCGGAGTATAGAAGGGTGTGTGTGTAGGGAGCAAGATGGTTATGGGGAGTCAGAATTGGAAAAAGAGACCGGGCTACGCCGAGGAATAAGTGGGAAGAAATGGGGTACAGCGAGGAGGAGGGTATGTTGAATGGGAGCCCAGAGATTGGGCCCGGTTTGCTTTGCCCTGGCTGAGATGGCGGGGGCGGGGGTGGGGGGGGCGCGGTGTCAGACCTTCGCAGTTTACTGGGGTCCGCCTGAGACTGGTCCGGGACTGCGCGCTAAGACCTGGTTCCTAAAGGGCTTGGCGGGAATGGTGGCGTCCCGGAACTTCACCGCCCCCCGCCTCTTCCAAAGAAATCACCCACGGACTCGGAGATGTGAATGGAGGGTCCGGGTGAAATAGTATTAGTTGGAAGGTTCTTTCGGTGGAGAGACTATGCGTGGGGTAATGAATGACTGCTGCTCTGAAATAACGTGTGGGATGGGGGCGGGATAGAGAAATTCTTGAGAAAAAAAACTAAGATGTGCGTATTGAGTTGGAAGAAGGGGGTGTGTGCAAAGCTCACGTTTCTTTCCAGATTCATTCAAGTGTAGAATTTCTTTACGGTTTACTTATGAAATTATATATGCGGTGTAAACTCAGTTTAGATCATACAGTGAAAGAATGTGTAGTACGACTTTTAAACCTTCCATGAATATGATTTAAAAACTAAGAAAATGTTTCTGTTGCAGAAGCACCAGGCTGAGCACTAGGGATAGTTTTAGTTACTTGAATATAAAACCTTGTGCCTGTTCAGGTTCTTTGCCTTTTAAGAAATGAATGAATTTTTATTTTAGGAGACAGAGTTTTGAATATCCGTCAGTCTGGAAATAAAAGGAGTCTTTTAGGACTTAAAATCACTGCGAGGGCAAAGCATTTACACTGAGTCTCAAGGACTGTTTTCTAGAGACAGGTTTGGACCAGTTTTCTTATTTCTAGTGAAAACAGAGGTTTCAATTCAGTCATGAAAAATAATTTGTTCATTTCTATCTGCAGATGCAAGCTTTCTGATAATTTTTTTCTCACTCTTTTTGGTAGGTTTAAATTTGCAAAAGCATAACCTCTCTTTTGATTATGTAACTGGATTTTTCCATGTTGAGGTTCACAAATTCATTAATTAGAATAATGGATTTTAATCCTTCTAGAGCTAGCCTTGTTGTGGTTAGTCATTGAACCTATTTGATATATGTTAGACTAAAACTTTTAATATGTAATGTTAGTAGCTAATCTTTAAAGTTGAAATGATTTTCTGAGGCAAGATAAAGCTTTATGTGGTTGAGTCCAAAAGACTTCTCCATGAATCCATTAAGAAGCTTTACTGAGTTCCTATTATGTGTAGAGTACTGTGCAAGGCATTGCAGGGGTTGGAGGAAAAGATAAATTCATTCATTTATCCTTTCAACAAACATTTATTGAGACCTCTCTGTGTCTGATAACTAAGCCTTCTGGATACAAATACAAGTAAGCCTTGCCCCTTGCCTTGAAATTGCTCAGAGAGCAAAATAGAGTAACAGATCATTACAGTGTAGCAAACACAATACATTTGTGAACACAGGCTTATGAAACAAAATTCTGGCCCTAGGGAGTACTTGTCAACAATAATTGACAGGAATAAAATGGAAAAAACTATTTAAAAAATTAGAAAATACTAAGTAAATTCTAAATTATGATGCACTAATGAAACATGTTTTTCAGAAGAGATAAAATTAGAATGGAAGCTTGAGAAAATTAAGGGTCAGTTCATAATTTAATAGTCTTTTAAAAGTATTCTTAAACATCACTGAACATTCTTAAGTCAATAATAGTAATAAGAAGCATAAATGCTAATATTCATTGAGATTATTAATGTCCTAGGCACATTATCTCATTTCATTTATTTATTTTCCACCCCTCTTCCCGCCTCAGTTTTCTCATTTTATGTTAACAACACTCTGCTCCTCAGCTGGTACTAATACTTCAATTTTAAAGATAAGAAAATTGAAGCTTAAAACATTAAGGCAGTTGCCTAAGATCACGGAGCTAGTAAATGGCAGATTAGGGACTGGAGTTGGGAATCTATGCACCTGAAAGCCTAAGCAGGATTCCTTTCTTTGTGCAGTAAAGGAGCCTTGGAATGGGGATAGGGGGCCAGACATTGAACATGGAATTGGCCAGAAGACTAAAATTCAGTCTCTCTTTATTCATAGATTTTGCTCCCTCAAATATTTACGCTATGGGGGAACTAATTTGAATATTAGCATGATGCTAAATATGAGGTTTGTATTGTACAGAGAATTGAGTAAATTACCATATTCATGTTGCGTATAATTGTATAGGGAGCTTTGCTTGGGGAAATAGTTATAATAAGCAATTGTTAACATCTGTAAGCTTCCAGAAACTGATGATTTTAACAGTGGAAATGGTTATCTATATTCATATATAGGGCAGCTGTTATCACAGCAGACTAAGGGATTTAGGCAAACATATTTGTAGACTGCTGCAGTTTGGGGCTTTTTTTTTTTTTTGGTGTATTTGCTTTCTGGTTTTGCTAGTGGTATAGAACCCGCCTGCCAATGCAGGAGACATAAGAGATGTGGGTTTGATCCCTGGGTTGGGAAGATCCCCTAGAGGAGCTCATGGCAACCCATTCCAGTATTCTTGCCTGGAGAATCCCGTGGACAGAGGAGCATGGCGGGCTGCAGTCCAAAGTGTCATCAAGAGTAGGACATGACTGAAGCGATTTTGCGCGTGTGCACACACACACACACACACACACGCACGCACAAATATTTGCTTTCAGATTTTTAAAACTATATTCCAAAGTCCAAAGTCTGATTTCCTGGTTGAAATTCAAATTTTATGTCTCCCTTTTATATTGAGGAAACTGAGAACTTTTAAATGACTTGCCCAGAGTCACACAGCTGTAGTGTCCCAGGTGTTTTTAAGAAATACATGCAGATTTGAAGGTGAGTCAGTGTTTTTTTTTTTTCCCCATTGAGTTGACTTTCTGCATCAGTCCCTCTATATAGATTTTAGCTGGAATAGCACGTGGGTGTGAATGAGATTCTCATGTTTTCTAACACCTTTTAACTAAGTGGGCTGTGTGCCTATGTTTTTATGTGAGTTATTTTTGAGGCATTGAGACATTTTTCCAAGAAAGGTTTAGAGCAAGACAATGAGATGAGAAAGAGCCTTGAGGGGTGAGAAGGGGAACTTCTCCAGAAGGGTTGAAAACTGAAAGCAATTGGTGATGTGTAAGGAGGAGGATGATCTAAAAGCTTTTCTTTAACTCCACCCACCACAGGAGAGCCTGGAGGCTTTTTCTACACACACTCTCTGGAAAGGTTTTATCCACTGGAAAAAAGTATTTCTTTCTCAGCATTTGTATTAGCAATAGTAAATAGACAATGAACAAACCAGAAATGATTTACTCTCATGATAGGTGAAAAGTGATATCTCACTTTAGATTTCTGTCTCTTCGATTACCTGTGAGGCTGAACATTTTCCTGTATTTATTTATTTTTTTATTAGGCAAACTCCAGGAGATAGTGAAGGACAAGAAAGCCTGGTGTGTTGCAGTCCGTGGGGTCACAGAGTCAGACACGACTTAGTGACTGAATGACAAATTAGGCAAAGAGTAGAATGAGCAGTTTCACAGAGAGAAATATAAATATCCAATAAAGAAATAAAAAACAGACTCACAGATGTAGAAAACTAGCTTATGGTTAACAAAGGGAGAAGGCAGAGTGGAGGGAGTTTGGAATTAACAGATACATGCTACTATATATGAAATAGATAAAACAAGGACCTACTGTACAGCACAGGATACTGTATACAAAATCTTGGAATAAAGCCTATAATGGAAATGAATCTGAAAAACAGTCTGATATATGCTTCCCTCTCTACCTGTAGTTGAGTCACTTTGCTGAAATTAGCACATCATTGTAAAATAACTACTTCAATTTAAAAAAAAAGATGCGCAGACTCCTGTGATCTGAAAACTGCAAATCAAACATTTTTTTGTTGACTTCCTTGTTTGTCTTTTTAAAAACATTTAAAAACTCTTCCAGATGTTTAAACTATATACTTAATTTGAAGAAAGAGAAAAAAAGAATACATTCCTTAAAAATAATAACTTTATATGGAGGCTAAGAAGCAAAGGTTCCACTTCCAGAACTATCCTGTTTGATGAATTTTCCAGTTCTTTTTCTATGCATTATATGCAATTTCTATTTATAATTTCTAGTCTATATATATCTTTTTAAAGTCAGTGGAATGATTTTTTCTGCAGCTTTTTTTTAAAGTTAGCAATATGCTTTTGAAATCTCATCCTGTCAGTACATACTTTTTAACAGCTGATTGTATTTCAGTTTGAATGTATGTAATCTATTTAACTGTTTCTTTATCTATGGACATTTAAGTTGTCTCAGATTTTTACAGTTATTGGGAACACTGAAATGAACAGCTCATATTCTTGTCTCTTGTGCAAATGTTCTATAATACCTCTAGGTGCCTAGAGTTGTTTTAAAAGGTTTACATGTTTTTAGTTTTGAAATATACAGCCAGTTTGCCTTTCAGACAGCCTATGTGCCATTCTTTATTCCACCAGCAGTTTATGAAAGTGCCTCTGACACTGGATATCAGTCTTGTACATTTTTACTAATATAACAGGCAGATTTTTACATTTTAATTTGTAGTTTTCAGATTACTTTTTAGTTTGAGCATCTTTTTGTTTGATGGGCTGATTATATTTCTTTCTTTTGAAATTGCTTATTCTTTATTTTTTAATTGGGTGGTTTGCTTTTACCTGTTAATTAACAAGAACTAAGAACTCTATATGTATATAGATAGAGATCTGTATTTTAGTATCTATTATGCATATTTTCTCCAGTGTGTTGCATTATCTATAGTGCTATTGATATACTAAATTTTTTGTATTTTACACAAAAAATACAAGTCACATCTTTTTCATAATGGCCTCTGGACTTTAAGGACTTGCTTAAGAAGGCTCTTGGGACTTTCGTAGGAGTCCAGTGGTTAATACTCTACATTTCCACTGCAGGAGACATGGTTTTAATCCCTGGTCAGGAACTAAGATCCCACGTGCCACTCGGCCAAAACAAAAAAGTTGGGGAGAGGATAGCTAAATAAAATTGATCGGGTTGAAAATCTACAATAGAATGTATAAATAATAATGATGTCTGATATTTAATCATACATATGGAAGAAGCTGGTTTTTCTGATTATTATTATGCCTGGGGAGAAGAAATAACTTTTTAGGAGCAATGTTCTTTCACGACTTTCTTCTGAAGGGAAATCCCGACATGTGGACATTCCTGAGTTAAGCATTGAGGAGGAGGTTGGCATAGCAGAAAGAACATTAACTTTAGAATCAAGCAAACCTTGGTTCCCTTTCCAGTTCAGTTATTAGAATTGTGATCTCTAGCTCATTGTCGTAGCTGCCTCTGTAAAAGAGTGTGCTCAAAAAAACGTATATCACATCAAATAACATCAACTGCTCAGAATTGATATTTTTGTGCAGCTGTATTACATGGTACAAATATTTGATGACTGAAGAGCATACTGTTATATTTAGGAGATCTGAATTAATGTTTGCTGCTGACCCATCAGTAACACCATTCAAATCAGAGGGTAGGAGAACCAAGAACCTAGGGTTAAGACCAAATAGAAGCACCTTGAAGCATGTTAGAAATGCCACATTAGAACCTACAGCTTAACCAAACCCCGAGGTGATTCATAAATACCTCAACGTCTGAGAAACAGTGATCGAATGTGCAGTATCTGAAGGAAGGTGGCAACTCCAAGCTCAAAGCTGCAGGAGTTGAGGTGGGTAGGAGCTATAGAAAATTAGGCAGATACTCATACTGTGGTTCCAGATGATTCATTTATTCATTATGTAGGGTCATCTCATCAAGTTGGGGGATGCAGGGAAAATCTTCCAGGAGACACGACTAGCAGGATCCTGATTGGGTGTCTGGACACCAGCTAACGGGTTTGGCATTACAGCAATAGCTTTAGTCTTTGCAGGAATCTAGGCTAGCTGTGCTGTTCAGTATGCAGACCACTAGCCACATGTGGCTTTTAAAATTAAAGTAAAAATTCAGTCCTTCAGTTGTGCCAGCCGCCTTTCAAGTACACAGTAGTCACATGTGTCTACTGTATGAGACAGTGGCGATACTGAGCGTTTCCACTGGTGCAGAAAGTTCTGTTGGGCACCACTTAAGACGAACAGGTAGAGATACCAAGCTAGAGTATCTGCCTTAAAGACTGTGTCAAAATGGCGAAGTACGGAAGGTAGAGAAAAACCTAGGAACTGCTGCTCACATATAATTTACCGTCCCATTCTAGAACCTTTCCATTACTGATAGCTGCGGATAATTCCCTGTCCTGTTAAAGTTTGGGTGTACCTGCAAGTGAAGACATCAAATAAAAGGCAAGAGAGGGCAGAAGCTGAGGAAAATGTTCTGGGAATTGTGAGTGTTAAGTAAAGGGATTTTCCAGACATACATTGCTGAGCATTGGAAAGAGGAGGAATGGCTGGGTATGGAGTTAGGAAAGTCATATAAAGTATTTAAGTATTTAGCTGCTGTTCTATAGTATTCTTCTGTTCCCAGAAGAAATAATCCTAAAAATAAATTCTAATGTCCAGGTTAATGCCGAGTCGGTCACCGATTTGATCACATCTTCACTAAAGTGTTTAGGTTGAAAAAAAAAAATAAAGTGTTTAGGCTGGTTTATCAATATTAAAAATATGAACACTTTTTTTTTATGTTTAATGAGAATTAGTGGGAAAGCAGAGTTCAGTTTGAGGTTCAGTTTTCAGTCTTTCCCCTTGGAGAATACATCTATTGAAAAGGCTATCCAAATTCTATTTATTTTTGTTTTGGAGACAGTGCCATATAGTATATTTGTAAGTTGTTTATCTTTTTTTAATTGATGGTTTATAGCAGACGTATACATGAATATGCTTTTTAAGTCAAGACCACTGTTTAAGTCACAAATTGCCTGCTAGCAAGTTATCTTGAGTAGGAAATCTTTATGAACCAAACTGATTATAATTTTAATTGGGCAAAGTATTGAAGTCTGATTTAGAGTTGTTTTTCCTGTGCTTCCTCTTAACAAACTCATGGAAAGAATCAACAACTGCTTTTAAAAATTCAATTTGGAGTTCTTATTTCACAATGACTTTCATCCTTTTTATGCTTTATTTCAATAGATAGTTGCTAAGCATCTGCTTTAAAAACAAATTTTATTAAGATATGATTCACATGTCATACAATTCGCTCATTTAAAGAATACAATTCAAAAGTTATTGTATGTTCAGAGTTGTGCAACTGTCACTTCAGTCAATTTTATTACATTTTTACCACCCCCAAAAGAAACTGTATATCCATAGGCAGTCATTCTCCTTGGCAACCTCTCCTTGGCAACCTCTCCCTCCGTTAGGAGCTACTAATTTACTTCTGTCTCTGTAGATTTACCTATTCTGGACATTTCATATAAATGGAATCATAAAATATCAATATATGGTCTTTTGTGACTGACTTCTCTCATTTAGCATAGTATTTTCAGTGTTCGTCCATGTTGTGGCCTGTATTAGTGTTTCATTCTTTTTATCACCAAATATATTCTGTATTCCCTTATATGAATACATCACATTCTTTTTTATCCATTTGGATTGTTTCTACTTTTTGACTATTATGAATGAGGCAAATGAGGTGCTTAGCTCACAAGAATACTGAGGGTTGCGCAAGTGCAAGATTTAAGGAGGTACTCTCTCTTAGGGTTGTGTAAGTACAACCCTACTTGAGAGTGAGGGCCTCCTTAAATTTTGTACCTGGGAGCTGCCAGTGTCCCACCAGTCTTGGCAGTGTATTGGCTTTCCTTGAGCTTCACTGAATATCAGCCAATTAAAAAAAAACTGAGTAAAAAGTTGTGCTTTGCTTTTTGTAACTTTCCTGTTCAACAGTGTTCAGTGATCTTCTATTGACTATCAAAGACTGACCTGTGATTCTAGTTTATTTCTAGTTAGATTTCCACTGTCTTATTATCTTAGTCAGTCTAAACTATTCTGTATTCCCCAACAAGTCAAAAGCTCTTCTGTTATCCTGATTTTGCCCTGTGCTGTTTTTTTACCTGTGACTGACACATTGATGGAAACCTGTTTCTAGTGGCATTGATGAGGGTGAACCTACTGTTTGAGCATACGGCACTAAACTTGTTCAGATTCTAATTCCCAATATTATCTAGTTCCCCTGGTTGGGGAACTAAGACCCCGCATGTTTTATAAATAGAATCCTGTGCTGTGCTCTGTTTAGTCACTCAGTCATATCTGACTCTTTGTGATCCCATGGACTGTAGCCCGCCAGGCTCTTTTGTCCATGGGGATTCTCCAGGCAGGAATACTGGAGTGGGTTGCCATGCCCTCCTCCAGGGGATCTTCCCAACCTGCAGGTCGAACCCAGGGCTCCCACACTGCAGTCGAATTCTTTACTGTCTGAGCCGCCAGGGAAGCCCCAAAATACTGGAGTGGGTGGCCTATCCCTTCTTCAGGGGATCTTCCCAACCCAGGAATCGAACTGGGGTCTCTTGCATTGCAGGTGGGTTCTTTACCAGCTGAGCTATCCAGGAAGCCTCAAATAGGATCCTATACTATATAATTTGGGGGGCTTGCCCTTTTTTTTTCTTTCCATTCAGCATTATTTCCTGGAGATTCATTCAGGTTGTTGCATGTATCAATATTTTTTTCCTTTTTATTGCTGAGAATTATTCTCTGATATGCCTATACCACCATTTGTTTAAACATTCACCTGTTCAAAGAATCTGGGCTGATTCCAGTTTTTGGCTGTTACAAAGCTGCTGTGAACATTTGTGTACAAGTTTTATGTGAACATGTTTCCATTTCTCTGGTATATATGTCCAGGAGTATAATTGTTGGATTGTATGGTAGTTGCATGGTTAGTTTTTTAAGAAACTGGCTGATTATTTTTCAGAGTGGCAGTAAAATAGATTTTACGTAGTGATCCAGTTTCTTTGCACGCTTTTGGGTATTTGGTGTTCTCACTACTTTTTATTTTCGCTATTTTGATAGATGGGTAGTGATACTGCTTTGTGGTTTTGATTTACATTTCCCTAGTGGCTGTTAAACATCTTTAAACATGTTAAACATCTTTTCACATGTTTATTTGCTAACTGTATACCCTTTTTGGTGAAGGATCTTTTGTCTTGTACTTATTTTCTACTTGTATAGTTTGATTTTTTACTGTTGAATTTTGATAGGTCTTTGTATATTCCGAGTACTAGTTCTTTGTTGAATATGTGGTTTGCAAATAATTTCTCCTAGTCTGTAAGCTTTTCTTTTCATTCTTTCCCCTGAGCTTTTATTGTACAAAAGTTTTTAATTTCAATGAGGTCCAATTTATTAATTTTTCCTTTATGAATCAAGGTTTTGGTGTCAAGTCTAAGAACTCTTTGCCTGACTCTAGATCATAAAGATTTTCTTCTGTATTTTTTTCTCAGAGTTTCTTACATTTAAGTTCTTGATAATTTTGAGTTAATATTTATATTAGGTATGAAGTTTAAGTTGAATTAATTTTTTTGCAATGGAATTTTAGTTGCTCCAGCAACTAAAAATATTGAAAAGCTTTTCCTTTTTCCTTTAAATTGTTTTTTCAGTTTTGTGAAAAATCCAACTCTGTCTCCTTCATTGACAGGTATATTCTTTTACCACTTAGCCACCTGGGAAGCCCTAAGAATATTTATGTAGGTCCTAAATTTGGGTTTCTCTGTTCTGTTCCATTAATCTATGTATCAGTATCACATTCTTTTGATGACTAGAGCTTTGTAATAAACTTGATATTGGGTAGAATAATTCCTTCCACTGATTCTTCTTTTTTTTTCTGATTATTCTTTATCAAGATTGTTTCAGCTGTTTTAGAGTCTTAACTTTCCATGTAAATTTTAGAATAAACTTGTTTAAGTCTTAAAGCCTCACTAGGATTTTGATAGGAATTGCATTAATCTTCTAGATTAATTTGGGGGGAATTGACATTTTTATCATGTTGAGTCTTCCAGTCAATGAACAAGCCTGTTTATTTATGTCTTCTTTGATCTCTTTCTTTCAGCATTTTTTAACTTTCAGCGTATAGAACCTGTACATGTTTTTGGTAAGTGTATATACTTAAGTATTGAATTTTTTAGAGTAATTGTAAATGGTAATGTTTTTAATTTTGACTTCTGCACATCTTTTGTTAGTACAATTGACCCTTAAACAACACAGGTTTGAACGATGCAGGTCCACTTATATATGCATTTTTATAAATAAATACATACTATAATATTACATACTCTTCCTTCAGTTGAATTGGAGGGTATGAAGCCATGGATACTGGCAGGTGACTGTAAAGTATGTAGGGATTTTCCACTGCTCAGGGTGTCTGCTTCCCTAACCCCTGTGTTGATCAAGGGTCAACTGTATATAGAAATCGATTGATTTTTGTGTGTTGATCTTATATCCTGTGACCTTATTATTACTTCTAGGAGTATTTTTGTATATTCCTTGGAATTGTCTATATAGACCTTATGTCATTTGCAAATAGAGTTTTATTTCTCCCTTTCCGATCTGTATGTGTTTTATTTCTCTTTCTTGCTAATTACAGTGCCTAGAACTGCTGATGTTAAGTATAGTGACAGCAGACCTTGCTTTGCTCCTGTTTGTTGTTGTTCAGTCACTAAGTTAATGTCTGATTCTTTGCGATCCCATAGACCGCAGCATTCCAGGCTTCCCTGTCCTTTGCTGTCTCCTGGAGTTTGCTCAAGTTCATGTGCATTGAGTTGGTGATGCTATTTAATCTTTTCATCCTCTGCCGCCCCCTTCTTTTGCCTTCAGTCTTTCCCAGCATCAGGGTCTTTTCCAATGAGTCTGCTCTTTGTATCAGATGGTCAATATATTGGAGTTTCATCTTCAGTATCAGTCCTTCCAAAGAATATTCAGAGTTGATTTCCTTCAGGATTGACTTGTTTGATCTCCTTTTATGTCCAAAGAACTCTCAAGAGTCTTCTCTAGCACCACAGTTCAAAAGCATCATTTCCTCAGCACTCAGCCAACTCTCACATCTGTACATGACTACTGGGAAAACCATAGCTTTGACTATATGGACCTTTGTTGGCAAAGTGACGTCTCTGCTTTTTAATACACTGTCTAGGTTTGTCATAGCTTTCTTTTCAAGGAGCAAGCATCTTTTAATTTCACGGCTGTAGTCACTGTCTGCAGTGATTTGGGAATCCAAGAAAATAAAATCTGTCACTGTTTCCACTTTTTCTCCTTCTATTTGCCATGAAGTGATGTGACTAAATGCCATGATCTTAGTTCTTTTTGAATGTTGAGTTTAAAGCCAGCTTTTTCACTTTCCTCTTTCATTGTCACCAAGAGTTTCTTTAGTTCCTCTTCACTTTTTGCCATTAGGGTGGTATCATCTGCATATCTGAGGTTGTTGATATTTCTCCTGGTAATCTTGATTCCAGCTTGTGATTCATCCAGCCCAGCATTTCATGCTGTACTCTGCATATATGTTAAATAAGCAGGGTGACAATATACAGCCTTGTATATTTCCTAACCTTAGGGGGAAAGTATTATTTTACCTTTAAGGGTGACGTTAGCTGCAGGCTTTTGTGTAGATGCTCTTTATCAAGTTGTAATCACATATTTTAAAAATTTCAGGTGAAACTGTTTCTTCTATGGTGCTTTTTCTTACTCTCCCAAGCTAGTATTTACTCTCCATATTTCAGTAGCATTCGGTTTATATTACTATTATTGAATTCTTACTTAATTGTATTCTGGTTGATTTTTGTTCATCCATCCCTCCTCCAGACATATACATCCTCTAGACTATGAGGGCAGATGCTGTTTTATTAATTTTTATATCAGTAGCTTACAGCAGTGTGCTGGCACTGTTGAATTGTTTGATTGAGTGAAGGAGTGAATGAATAAATAATTGAATAAGAGAATGGGAAACTCTTATAGGGCTGAAAATAGTTTTTAGTGATAAAAGTATGAACTTTGGAGCCAGACAGAATTCATATCTCAGCCCTTCAATTTAATGCTACTGTGTGAAGTTGGTCAAATTACTAAATATTTCCGAACTTTAATTCTCTTATCTGTGAAATTAGGATAATAATAACCTACCTGAACAAATTAAGTGAAATAGTACATGTTAATTCTCAGTATAGTAGCTGTCATGTAATAGGCACTCAAAGTTTAGTTTTCCTTTGTTTCTTCATTGAACTGTTGTAAGTACTAAGTTATAGTGATTGTAAAATCACTTTGTGAAGTGCATTAAGTTATTTAAATTTTGTACGTTTGTGTTAAATACATCAAACTAATTTTGATGATATTGGCTTAAGAGGGAAAAATAGGGACATGAGAAAATGGAGGTATTCTCCAACAATAACTTCTGTTGAGCAATACCATGTACTAGCCACTCTGCTCAGAAGTTTACATTCAGTGATTCATTTAATCTTTACAATAACCCTATGAAGCACATACTTCCTCTGAAGGATTTTTTCTTAGTTTTTTAATTATAGTTTCCTTATCTCCATGCTTTCTAAATAAACCTCAGGAATTGGGCTAATACAATTTAATGCAGATTTCAAACTGTATTAAATATGAAGAATAATAATTATTTCTTTTTTAAGCTCTCATTTTAGTATTGGGGACAGCATACTTTAGATTAAATCTTCATTTTTTTCAGTAAATCTTAGTAATGATATTTACAGGCAGTTTGGTTCCAGAGCACCACCATAAAGAGAATATTGTAATAAAGTGGGTCAACTGAATTTTTGTATGCCATTGGATATGAGTAAATGTAATTTACTATATAGTATGCTGTATAATATACTGTAAATATACACAGTATACTGTGGTCTACTATGTATGAAATAGCATTATATCTAAAGAATACACTTCTTTTAACTGTACTCTCAGGCTTGTGGGATCTTAGTTCCCTGACCAGGGATTGAATCAGGACCATGGCAGTGAAAGTCCTAACCCTGGACCACCAAGAAACTCCCCAAAATATACATATCTTAGTTAAAAAATACTTTATCACTAAAAAATGCTAATCAACATCTGAGCCTTCAGTGAGTTGTAATCTTTCTGCTGTTGGAGGGTCTGCTGCAGACTGAGCCATCAGGCCATCAAGGTAATGGTTGCTGAAACTTAGGGTGGTAGTGATAGCTTCTTAAAATAAGAGAACAATGAAGTTTGCCACATCAAGTGACTATTCCTTTTACAAATGACTTCTCTGTACTATGCAATGCTGTTTTGATAGCATTTTACCCACAGAAAAATTTCTTTCAAAATCAGAGTCAGTCCTCTCAAAACCTGCCACTGTTTTATCAACTAAGTTTATGCAGTATTCTAAATCTTTTGTTGTCATTTCAGCAGTCTTCATAGTATGTTCACCAGGAGTAGATTCCATCTTAAAAAACCACATTCCTTGCTCATCTGTAGAAGTAACTCCTTATCTGTTCAAGTTTTATCATGAACCCCTCAAAGTCATCCATGAAGGTTGGAATAAACCTCTTCCAAACTCCTGATATTTGACCTGTTCCCATGAATCACAAATATTATTATTATTGTTTTTTTTTTATCACTCCTCATGGCAGTACTCTTGCCTGGAAAATCCCATGGATGGAGGAGCCTACCGGCTTGCGAAGAGTCAGACACGACTGAGCGCCTTCACTTTCACTTTTCACTTTCATGCTTTGGAGAAGGAAATGGCAACCCACTCCAGTGTTCTTGCCTGGAGAATTCCAGGGATGGCGGAGCCTGGTGGGCTGCCGTCTATGGGGTCACACAGAGTCGGACACGACTGAAGTTGACTTAGCAGCAGCATGACTTGTGTATTTTAGTACCCCGACCAGGGATCGAACCCAGGCCCTTGGCAATGAGACTCCTAACCAGTGGACTACCGAAGAATTCCTCACAAATATTCTTAATGACATTTAGAATGATGAGTGTGCTTTCCAGAAGGTTTTCACTTGACTTTGTCCAGATCCATTAGAGGAATTACTATCTATGGCAGCTGTGTGTGTGCATGCTCAGTCGTGTCCGGCTCTTTGCGACTCTTTGGATTGTAGCTTGCCAGGCTCCTTTGTTCATGGGATTTTTCAGGCAAGAATACTGGAGTGGGTTGCTATTTCCTCCTCCAGGGGATCTTCCTGACCCAGAGACTGAACCTGCATCTCTTGCATTGTGGGTGGATTCTTTACTACTGAACCATTGGAGAAGCCCTAAACGGATGTGCAGTACATTCTGAATCAAACTTGGGCCTGCCACATGACAGAAGTTCTATCACTTAACCAGCAATGCAAGCAGCATGGCACCTATGGCTTTACAAAATGTGTTTCTTAAATAATAATGAAACTGTACACCCAGATTGAGACCTGATTCCACTGTCTTTTAATTGAGATCACACGCCTGGTCTCAGAACTTAATGAAGCTCAGGTTCTCTATGTCTCATTGCAGAAAGAATTCAGTGAGGGACAGAGTGATAGATAAGAAGTGGATTTATCTAGATACACATTCCATAGACAGAATGCAATCCATCTCAAAAGGTGAGAATGGCCTTAGGAGAAGCACTCTCCACAGATAGAGTGTGTGGTTAGTTTTAAGGAGTGGGAGGGTTTTGGGAAAGGGGTAGAGATTTCCAGGAATTGGGCCACTGCTTACTTTTGTAAGCAGTGGTTAGCCTCCAAAGTGCCATGACACCAATGACACTGTAGATGTGTCATTTAGATGCTAATGTGTTAATTTTGCAGTGAGCATATAATGAGGCCCAAGATTCATGAAAATCAAATCTTCTGCATCTTGGACCTAGCTGGTTCTGACCAGTTTGTGTCTTATCCTCAAGGGCTATGTCATTCTTTTAGAGGTTATTTCCTTCCCTCCTGTTTTAATAAGACCTGAAAGTCAAAGTTTCTCCTTGATCCATGAGCTACAGAATGGATTTTGTGTTAGCAAGCATGAAAACAACATTAATATCTCCATCAGAACTCTTAGCTGACCAGGTACATTGTCAATGAACAGCAATATTTTCAAAAGAATCTTTTTTTCTGAGTTACAGGTCTCAACACAGGACTTAAAATATTCAGTAAACCATGTAAA